AAGTTGTTTTGCAAAGTAAAAGTGATCCAATTAATGTATATTTTATGTATAACATATAAAACAGACATATAGCACTGGAAGGGACAAGAGGTCCATCTCCAACTGTTCTGAGGGGGACTGAAGTATACCTAGAATTAAGGTTGCCAACTTCGTAATATTTGAAAGCCAGACACTCCATCAGGAGTTCTGGAACCTCCTCTGTGGTGCATCTTGCCTGCCCTGAGGCCCCCTCCCCTTCCTCGGTCCTCTTTCCTCTTCCTGGGTCAGGAGGGACTCGCCTGCGGAGCCACTGCTGGGAGCGGTAGCTGCCCAATGTAGGTAGGAGGCAGCTTTGGCTGAGTAGGGGCTGGTGTGGGTGATGACCCGGCGCCTCCCTGCCCACAGTAACTGGACTTTGAGTGTCCGGTCAGTAGATCTGAGTGGACACCGTCAGGTCCCCTTTTTGACCAGACTTTCTGGTAAAAAACCAGGCACCTGGTCACCCTATCTAGAATGTTTAGGTATACTTACAGTTAGCACTGAGTTCATACTGTATTATACTGGGCTTCCAATGGCTAACATGTAGGGAAAGAGACATGTCAATAGCAACAAAAAGAAGGCAGCTTCATGAATAAAACAAGACGAGCTCAGTTTCTTTCCTTTTTTTTTGGAACAGTTCATTTATTGTGTGTCAAGAGCAATATTTTCAGTGCAAATATACTTCTTTTCCAAATTAAAAGCTCTTAGGATGCCAAGTAAATATATTTGATAATTACAGTGCCCCGAGAAGCTACGACATGCAAATTATGAGTGTCATAGCGCGTAAGGACAATGGAGTCAGAAACAAAGGGATCATGTATTTTAGGAAGGACAAGAGATTTCCTTAATTTTCACTGCATGGCAGGTGAAAGTGATCCCTGTAACACATGAGAACTGAGTGAGAGCAAGCTTGACTGTCAATTATCTGTTGCGACACTGCTGGCTTCACCCTCAGTGGGGCTGAACTGGCGTAACTGACAAAAGATGTAGAGTCACGTGAAGCTCCCCCTTCACATTAGATGTAATGCTCACAGTAATTCACTACTCTAGTGTAAAAGCACTTTTCTATATTCCATTATGGCATCACGTCTAATAACTGCTGAACTAGAATTTGTACATTCTGTACAGCGGACAATGAATCTAAAGATCTGGCCTGCCTGAAAAACAGAATTCTAAGTTATTTTGTTTATTTGATGTGCACTGAACTTGGCATGTTAAAAACGTGAAACTAAATCTTCTTAATCTTTCCCAACAGAGTGATAATTGTGGTGAGCATGATAGGCAGGGAAAATTTGCTGTTGATTTAATTCTGGTTAGAGAGAAGGAGAATGTATCTAATATTTAAAGCATTAAAATTATAGACCCTGACACCTTGTAATTCCAAGTGAATGACTCAGTTTGAGTAATTTGTCAGCTTGTTTAACCACCTTAGTGTTAGATAGATAAACAACATGGACTCATATTTTCAAGATCATAACCTAGTTTGAACAATAGTTGGTAGATAATTCTCAGACTGATGCACCAGGAAAGTGAAATTTGTCCATGTGACTCCTTGTTAAATGAAAAAAAAAAAAATTAAATGATCCAGCATCTTTTCTCCAGAGCACTGGAGCTGCATTGTATGCAGCTCAGACTGCTGGCACATAACGTAGCTTGATTGTGAATAACAATGGTAAATATTTCAAAATACCCTTTAAATATGCAAGTCTTTGTTTCTGAATGCACAGTTTGGGGCTGCCAAAATGCAGGACCACATGCACAAATTGGGAAAATTGAATATCCAACTATCTGATGTAAGTTTTGGGTGAGTAGAAACATAGGTTCCCAAAATTGTGCCCTCCAAAATTTGGACACATATGGAGCCTCCGTTGAGGCCACATGGAAAATCTGGCTCTCAATGAGGAAAAAAAAGAAATCTACTTATGCAAGTTAAATTTCAACATAAACATTAGAGATTGCTTCTGATGGAGATAAAGTGCAGTCTGTTTATGTACAGTATGTGGGTTAGAAGCCAAGAAGTTAATATAGTAGACTGAGGTTTAAGTTATGAGGCAAACCATCCCTGTTGGAACTACATATATTTGTGAACCTGGTTACTTATTGCCTTAAAGGCAGGCAAAATATAAAACCTATACAAATTCATTTGATATAGATTTAGCCAGCTAAATGTGTAGGTCAACCTCTGATTATTTTTAGATTACTTCACAATTAAAGCAAGTGCATTTTTGCATAGCTTAGTAGCACCTCTTCCAAAACGAATCTCTGTGGAATTTTCTTCTGTGTTCTGTTTCCTACTGGTTGGCAATGAAATTCAATTTGTCATGAATTTAGTAAGGCAGACATTGAAATAGTGAAAGAGAGACAATGTGTGGATTACAAAGCTGAGAGATACCAGAAGAGCATTTTGCCCCCTACATTTTTTTTATAAAGACAGTTCACATAAGGAAGCATCTGTTTGTGCTGTAGAAAACATCTGAATGTTGGCTTTGATATCATTTGTCATGCCACACAGCCAACAACTATCAGATTAAGATATGTCTTCTTCTGATTTGAATGTGTGTTAACCAGGATCCTCATAGCAACTGCGCATCTCAAACATAAGTAAAGATAAAGAAGTTTACTGAACATTGTTTAAAAGCGTGTGCCAAAAACTGCCAGGAGACCACAAGCTGAATTCAGACAGAGCAGTGCACATACAGTTAGCAATTGCTAGAAAGCCCATGAATAAATGGGGCAGCCTGGGATAGAAGTTTTTTGCCCCAATCCTGGCTCCTCCAGAACTTAGAGAGAGGCTGTTGTGTAAGCCCTCTGTGACACAGGTGCAGTTCCAAGGTAACGCTTAGAGATCATGGCCATGGTCCATCTGATCTGACTTCACACTAACTCCTATGCACCTACTTATACATAGATTGGTGCTCTTAGCAGGAATAGTCTCTAATGGACAAGGCAGGGCACTGATCAGACAACTGGCACATAATGCTGCTTTTGCAGTGCCTACAGTACATGTACGGTTTTCTGGTCACTCCTAGATTGGGCCAGAATTCATGTCTGTCGTTTGGTGAAGTTTTGTGATGAGGAAAATGAGAAGTTTCTGTTCTTTTCATTGTAGTAGAGTAGGTTTTAGTAAAGTTTTGAGCAATGGACATTTTACAGTTGGCTTACAGATAACTTGCATGCAAGAAATATTGTCTGAGAATGTAACTTTTTCCACTGGGAATACAATACAGAAAACACTTGATTTTACTAGTTAGACAATATGCATCCAATTATCCTGATTCAATCCATGCTTCATTTCAATTAGTAGTTTGCTTACATATTCTAATTTCAAAAGTGTTTTCAATTATTTCAGAGAATCATAATGTATCCAATACCACCTAAAATTTGCTATTTAATGTATATTGCCACAAGATCTCTTTTTGATGCAGCTCCACCTCCGAACTAGTGGTTCCATCTGTCAAAAATGCTCTATAGTTTTACCTACCAGGTCAGTTGTTAGATCACAGAAAACAAGCTTTACATTCTCTATTTGGTTTGCTATATTTTTACAGTGCAGACGCTCCTCCTGCAGTTGTCTGACCTTGTCCCACTTTCTCCAGAGATACAGCCATGCCCAAAAAATTATTCTCTCTCTAATCTGAGAAACTTTCTGATTGCTTCTTTGTACAGGCCTTAAAAATAGACTCAAGATAGAACAGTTAATGAGGGTACCTCAAAAGGGTTCCAAGTATTTAGTTCCAATAAGTGTAAAAAACCAAATGCTTATCAGAACTATCCAAATCTCTAGAGCCTGCTAAATTGGGTTGGAAGTCTCATGAGACCAGATTTTCTATGGGATTTCCAATACTTCCTGTTCTGATCCTAGTCAAAGACCAGAAGTGAAAAAGGAGCTTTTTGGAAAAGCTTCACTAGAACCCTTTTCTAAGGAATACAGTTTAATCATCAAAACACTTCATGAAATCATGTTTTTGCCAAAATCTTGTTTGAGAAAAAACTAAAGAGTTCTAAACAATTTCAGAATGTCCCTTTTTGGCCTTTTCAGAATGAAATGTTTTAATTTTTTTAAATGACTGTTTCAGTTATTTAAGTATAATTGATTTTTTTTAAACAAATGCAAATCAAAACAAAATGTTTCAACTTGTAACTAAATATTTTTCAGAATTTTCTTTCACAGAGAAATTCAAAATGTTGGGATTTCGTTCTTAATCGGAAAAATGACAAATGTCAAAATCCTTCACAAAATGGAATTTCCATTCTCTGCATAGCTCCAAGAGCTTATCTGAACATTTCAGATTTTTATTTGGTTCTAGCTATGGGTGATGTGTTAGGGTTAGGTTTTTTGGTTTTGTTTCCCAAACCTGATGGTCCATTCCTATTTAAGATTTTAGGAGGAGATTTATTTCAAGAAGTTGCCAACTCTGACTGAAGCTATTCTGGGAGATCCCCCCCCCCAACATGACAATGTCATTTTCTTAAAATATCCTATTAAAATCTCACGGATTGCTTTCAATAGTCACCGGGAGATTGATGCCGATTCCAGGAGACTCCAGGCCAATCCTGGAGGATTGGCAATCCCATTCAAGGCACAAATGTAAATTAGGCACCCAACTCCTATAGACTTTCAGTAAGAATCTGGATGCTTAACTGGCCTTTGTGACAAACTCTCCCTCCTGATGTATTTCCAGATCATTTCATATTTCTTGGTTTAGTATATAAGAAAATATATTGTAAACCAAATACTACCATTATCACAACATTTCTAAAATAAAATAAAGATACCTACTCCATGATACCTACCTATGGGATGTATCTTTAAGAAAACATACCTGATAAACATTTAAAAACCCTGAACATCTACAGCGGTAAGAATATGCTCAATAACATGTGAAAGTGGTGGTGGTGGGGAAAAGGGGCTGTGTGTTTTCATGTACAGAAATTTTAAATGATAGTTGGGTTGCAGAACTGACGGTTTGTGTCTTCCTCAGGATGACAGGACATCACAAATATGAGGCACCAGAGCTTCAAGCCACAACATTAGAATTCTTAAGGAAGAGTGCGCTCACTAACTTATTTTATGGATGCCACTGAATTCAGCTTTGAAGGGCTCCAAAAGCACGTCACAGACCTGGAATGGGAAACCACAGCAATAATCATACCTGTTTGACAGATGATTCCTTTAAATACAACCTGTATGGGGCCGTATACAGCGTGGTATTCATCCTTGGCTTGATCACAAACTGTGCCTCTTTGTTTGTTTTCTGCTGTCGAATGAAAATGCGAAGCGAGACAACTATTTTCATGACAAACCTTGCCGTCTCTGACTTGCTCTTTGTATTCACTTTGCCTTTTAAAATATTTTATAATTTCAACAGGCACTGGCCTTTTGGGGACACTCTGTGCAAGATTTCAGGGACTGCATTTCTCACCAACATATATGGCAGTATGCTGTTCCTCACCTGCATTAGTGTCAACCGTTTCCTGGCTATTGTCTACCCATTCAGATCTCGTACCATTCGGACAAGGAGAAATTCAGCCATTGTGTGTGCAGGAGTCTGGATACTAGTCCTCAGTGGAGGAATTTTAGCTTCATTGTTCTCCACAACCAACGTCTCTAGCACTAGCACAACCTGCTTTGAGGGTTTTTCCAAAATTGTTTGGAAGACCTATTTGTCTAAGATCACTATATTTATTGAAGTGGTAGGATTCATAATTCCTTTGCTAATCAACCTCACATGCTCTTCACTGGTTCTGAGGACTCTCCGGAAACCTGCTACATTATCTCAGATTGGGACAAACAAAGAGAAAGTACTAAAGATGATTATTGTGCATGTGGCCATTTTTGTAGTATGCTTTGTGCCCTACAATTCCATACTTTTCTTATATGCTCTTGTGCGATCTCAAGCCATAGCAAACTGCTCTTTGGAGAGATTTGCTAGGACAATGTACCCAATCACATTATGCATTGCAACAATGAATTGCTGCTTTGACCCCTTCATTTACTACTTCACATCAGAATCTTTTCAAAAGTCTTTCAATATACACCCCCAAATACAAATGGACTCCATTTCCAAGACTGAAACACCTCTAACAATGAAGACTGCACTGCCTGCAATACAGGAGGAAGTGAATGACCAGGCTATTACAAATGGAGGTGATCCAACTGCTGAATCACATTTCTAATGGCTTGTCTACATATAGAGTTATTCCTGATTAACTATCCCTGATTCACTCCCAGGGATGAAAGTAGGCCGGTACGGGCTGGTATGATGTACCAGTAAGAAGCCGGTACCGGCCCGTATGCAGCCGACCTTAAAGCGCTGCCATGGCAGTGCTTTAACGTCGCTGCCCCTTTTGCCCCCCCATCGGCAGCCCTGCCAGAAGGGACCCTATCGGCAGGGCCACCGACGGGAGGGGCAAAAGGGGCAGCTGCCCCGGGGCTGGTGATTTAAAAGGGCCTGGGGCTCCTGGCCGCCGATACCGTGTGAGCGGCCAGAGCCCTTTTAAATCGCCGCTGGAGCCCCGGGCGGCCCAGGCCAGGCAGCACAGATGGGCTGGCTGAGGGAGGCTGACGCCCTGCCCCTTCCGCAGGCCCAGAGCCAGGCCCCCATACTGGTAAGTGTTTAATATTACTTTCACCCTTGTTCACTCCACATATGGATATTCTTATTCCAGAATAAGAGTGTCTTGTTCCTATTTAGCTTAACTCACTTGAATTTAGCTTTCAAAGTGTCCACACGTGGAGTTAATCGGAGATTTCTCCATGTGTAGATAAGCCCATCAGATAACAGGTTTCTCAGTTTTGAGAACTCAAGATATGTAAGTCAAGGTAGATCTCTCTCTGGAGATTATTTATGGAGAGAATGGAGCGGATTCTTGCATTGAATGATGCCAACATTTGGTATGTTTTCCTAGGATTAAACATGGGACCAGTCAGGAAATATAAAAACTTTATCTTACTTTAGAAATCTCAGTCAATTTTTTCCTGCCTTCTGAAAATACAGGATATGTTAAGTCAATTTCACACATATGTATGTTTTCTTTCAAACATATAATAAAAAATTTCAGCTTTACTATGAGTGTATGTTCTGGGTTTACTAGATACAGGGTTCTTTTTAAATGAGAGTAGGTATGGGTTGGTTTGGAGCTTAATTAGTTCTCTTACAGAATGCAGGAAATGGTTGTTTGTTGTACTAATAATAGGAAAGAGCAAATAATTAAAGGACTTTGATATACAAAGTCACCTGCAAGATGCTGTATTCTTTTGAGCTGCATGATTAAGTTAGCTTTCAATTGATTTTAGCACTGTATTAAACACCAACTGTAGATAAAAGAAAAAGCATATTACAGCATTGTTAAGACTGGTGTTTCTACAGCCCATGATGTTACTGCAAAGTACAGGGCCAGTCCTTACTCAGCACAGTCAGCTCAAAGCAAGGATCTGATCCCACAAAGTTCTTGCTCCAGCAACTCTCTTAATAACATTAATAATACACATTTTCTGGTTGATGGTGTAAGTCTTTTTCTAATTCAGAGCTATCAGGGATAAAAACAGTGAGACCACAATGAACTGAAGAGAGAGACTTCCATTTAACCATTTGTTTTAATTCTCACATGTTGAATCTCCTGTGACATTTCAAGCAACCCATTAGGTCTAATTACGTCTTGAAATGGTTGGAGTTTAAATGCTTACTTACTAAGTGGATTGCAAAAAAAAAATAATTCACTTTGAAAATAATATTTATTTAGCACTACCATTGTTTTCAATGAAAGAGAAACAGCCATACACTGAGCAAGACAAAGAAAGATCTTGTAGTTCAACATATTTTAGCTCTTAAATAACTACAGCACCTGACTTCTGGCACTCAGGTACAGAATGGCTATATGATAAATTCCCGATACACAATCTCACAGTCAAAATGATAGAGTGGCCAAACCTTGATAGCTTGGCTTTGCATTATTGCCATCTTGACTAGAAACTAACCTCTCGTACTGGGATTTACTGCTGCATAAGTGTCAGGGCAACAATGGGCAGTCAGCATTTCCAGACAAGAAAGAAAACATGACAACAAGGAGAAAGGATTCTAGCCACTTGGGGGTGTAAGTCAATAGCTGGAACAGGTGGCGGGGCAGGGTACACCAGCATTGCCCTGGTGAACACTCTTTGATGCTTTGAGAAATACAGGCAACTCAAATGATAAAATGAATTAGCTGGCATTTTACAAAGTTGCAGGGTTTGCTCAGCAACCAGTCACCATGCCTGCTTTGCATCACCAAAACCACCATCAAGTACAAAACATACATCCAATTTTAACCAGATTGTTTTGCTCCCCCTTCAACAAAATGCTTGGACCTCTATAGGAACATGTGTGCTCAAGGAGGAGTTTGTTCCTGTAATTCAATACAGCCATTTGAGTCTTATGCCAAGTGGAAGAAAAGTTCCCCTTCCATTCCCCCCCCCCCCCAATCTACACCTGCACTGTACCATTTACAAGGATTTCTGCAATTTCGATTTCCTTTGCGTGATGAACCTGTTTCAACACTTGCCATAAGTCGTATGCATTTCAAAGAAGCTGCTTCCATCGCTTCAGATCAAAATCCAAGATGTGGCAAGAGAGATTTGTTTGTGGCAAACTATCTTTCACACCGGAGCACTGACAAGGAAGCAGTCGGGTCTGTCAAATCAATAACAAGTCTGGCACGCCTTTACAGTAGGTATTCCAGCTTTCCACGCGCACCCCCTCCCCCCATTACTGGCTCTTGAATGTTGATACCTAAAATGTTAAAAATTGCATGTACTGGGGAGACGGAACTTTATTGTGGGTGGGAGGGAACAAGGAATGAAAAGGGAAAGGGGTATCATTGGAAGCTAGATTACTGAATTAATGATGCATTTCTAAACTTTTAATCAAGCCCTTTTCCATTGAGTAAGGAAAAACAGGGTAAACAAGTAAGCTCAGATCTCACAGGCAGGGTCCATTTATATTATTATTTCAGTCTTACAAAAGAGAAAATGGAAACTTCTGTGTAGATGCCAGCTCTCTCTCAATGGAAAGCTTTGACTTTCAGCTTGTGACGCTCTGTTCATTAAATCTTCTTTCTACTTTCATGCAATAAGCATGATTCTTGAATTATGTGGGGGTAGTTGGGATGTTCTTAGGCCAAAATCTGTTCTCAGCTAATGAATGCAAGGGAGTTTCATTGGTGAGAACAGAATTTGGCCCACTGTGTCAAAGTTGACTACAAAGGAGTATCTTGTTACCAATGATCTTGGGAAACCTCATGCTCTACTCAACTCTATGCTTTTACTAGTTAAATTTGCAGGACTTTTAAAAAAAACCTAGAAACCACTGTCTAGCCTTCTTAAGGAAATGTTAAAAGAGGAGGGAAAGAACTGTATGTGACTGGATACCATCCAGCCTGTACATGCATAGCTTAACTGTAATGCTAGTATAATGGTTGTCTTTTTCTAAGTGAAACTAGTGCCAATGCTTACAAATTTCTGTTTGCAGTTTTATGGGGTGAGAGCTGTGGTTGATATTCTCACATAAAATGTAATACTATCATCATGTGCCAAAATGCTAACTGAAAAGATTCATTATTTTGTAATTTAATACGTTACAAGTTATATGGAGATCATATGCTGACTGGCATATCTGGTAGGACAGTTTTTTGACTGATTTTTTTTTCTAGGTCAGGTATACCAAGTAAATGCCTGTATGGTTTGTATATAAGTAACCAATGAATTGAAAGGGAGGAAAATAATTTTTCAGATGCTAGTAAGCAAGGCTGCAAGGAACTCTGGTGGCAAATGAAAAAGTGGATTCCGTTTGCCTGGATAACTTGCAGCTGGGTCCTCTCCCTCTTCCCTTCTGCACCCCCTCCCCCATACACACACACACCGCCCCTGGCCAAAGGGCTTCTGTTAATGAATAGCACAAAACAGAAACATTAATTTAGATGCAAGAAACAAATTAAGGAGGTTGATGCTCTCATCTAGCTGAAACTGTGAGAGACAGGACTCAAGCTATAAACTTAATCAAGGATTCCATCTATTCGCAACCAGCTTTTCCTTTTTACAAATGCCACTTATGTGAATCACAAAACTATAGCTTACTATATAATTTTGGGCCACTAATCTTTCTTTAACTCTGGTGCTAAGCTGTAGCATTCGCAAACACTGATGTGTGAAGAATATCTTCCACTTGTGTATATATGCATATCTATGTAAAATGCCATACGAATCTCATCTAAGGGTTTTGGATAGTAATGTTGTGAATTTCTAAAGAGGTTGGTTATATTAAGGCCATTATGTGCAGCTGTGGGACCACATTTTATGTGGTAGTTCGCAAGACAGAGCTACTTTTATAGCAGAAGAAAAGTGTGTGTTTATCGGATGGGGTAAGTTTTCATTGGCTTTGCAGAATGAAGGGAAACTATCCAGACTAAATTTTAAATGGCCTTCAAGAGCAGACAGGCACCAGAAGGTCACATAGAGAGTCTGTACATTGGGTCAGGGTACCCAGAGGCCGTGCTGGCTTGGTGAATAAGGAAGAAGAGGAAAAAGCACCCACACCACAGGTGAGTTACACAGTGATACATGAAAGTAAGTTCTCTGCCCCATGAGTGCCACTATACCCTATTAGCCATACCCTCCTCTCAGATTTTGTGGGGAGGGACTCCAACCCCTAAGCATCTCTAATAATCCCAATAACATTCTTGGGGGCCTCTCATACTACACTGCTTCAGGAACAATGGGAGTTGGAACGCCTGCTTTCCTTACACATCCAAAGGCAGTGGGCTGTAGCCATTGAAGGGCTTCCCCACCAGTGGGGAATTTCCTCCTTTCCTCCACAACCTTTAAAGAGGGGCATATTTTCAGCAATATGGGTCCCTATCCCCAGCCAGCACACTGCGGAGGCACCAGCCATGCTGTCCCAATTGGCTTCTCCTCAGTAACTCCTCTGTCATTCCCAATGGGCTCAATTGCTATAAATTTAGGAAGGAGACAGCCACTTCCCGGGGAAAGTGCCATCTCAGGACAGGGAACGGCAATAGGTAACAGTGACTGCTCTCAAGAAGTTTCTGTGGGCCACGCAGTGCCCCAAAAGTTTACAGCATAAAGAATGACTAGTGAGGTAATCAGATCAGGACCTAGCTATATATTTAGTATCTTAGGAACAGGCAAATATAAAGGCTTTGCTGCATCTGAAGGGATGTGTTGTCCATAGTTCACTTCAAGAACACATGTCAAAGCAATGATCTGTTCATGGAGTATGAGATGTTGGTTTCCATTAATCGACTAGGAGGGGAATATTTATTTTGATTAAGATTAAAGGACTAATCCCTTTGAAAATAGAAGCCCTACTTTTCTCCAGATTGGAAACAGCTGTAATTTGAACTACCATATACTGCCTTGAGACCTGACAGAGCCCTCTAATAGAGAGCTACTCAGA